ATCAAACCTTGGTAAATGCTTTCAGCCTCATCCTGCAAGAGATCTATTTCTTGTCTTGGATCGTCATCTTAGGTGCATATAGTTCTTGACAGAGAGGGGCAGATAAAGAATATTGTATTTAATTCACATATGGTACCTAGAAGACAGAGAAGAGCACAGTTTGGGAGATGGAAAATGATTTGATGTTTTGATATTCTCATTTCCCAGTTCAGAAATAGAGCCCAGAAATTTAGCTTCCAGATATTTCTGGAGACACATGGCTTCGAGCCACCACAAATAGTGTAAGTGGCACATCTCTTACTGAATTGTAGAAGGCTACCTTGACCATCTCCTGTAGGGGTGTTTCATTCCACAGATGCATGGTATATATGGGCTTTAGAAGAAGCTCATCAAAGCATAGTTCCTATGAATATAACACTTTTCAAGGGTAACTTTTCTTTCACAAGGATTTTCAGGCATCTTGAACCCTGAAAGTAGAAAGAAGAGCAGCTGTTTCTAGACATTACGTTAGAGAGCCCTTCATTCAGGTGAGAAAAGCCTGAGAGAAGAAGTGATTCTAAGAATGTTCTTCCTGTGATTTGGAGTCTACCGATAGATATGACACTTGCCTGCATGAAGCTGCATCAGGCATTCGGGATCTTACATTTTGTAACTTTGTAGAGTACTTTTGCCATCTGAGATCACCTTTGCTGTTGTTAATCACTTCTCTCAACATCCACGGTCACATTGGGAAATGAGAGATCCTAGTGTCATGAGTCCATGTTGACGAGATAGAAATCTTCCTGTCCTTTTTCAGAAAAGCTTGTGTGTGGTTGATTACATCAGCAACAGGAGAAAATACTTTTTTATCAAACTTTTTTCTCCCCCCCCTCCCCCCGCCTTGGAACAGTCTCTTGTCTCACCTTTTAATCTGTGGGATCTTTTCTCAGCAGTTTTCATCTTTTCATCCTCCTGGCTGCTATGAGCAAAAAGAGAGGGTGTTTTGACATTATTTTTAAGAAATGGGAGTGTATTGTGTTTTCTGGTGCAAACCTCCATTACACTGATGGAGGTATGTTCATTTTTACTGTCTGTGACAGTCGTAGCTCTCTGTTCTGGATCCTTACGACTTCCCAGGCTATTTCTGCTCTTTTCTGTGCTGTTAGGCCTTGCTTGCTTATTCTTGCCTTCAGTGAAAGGTGCTGCCTTGAGACATGAGCAGATTTTGGATTATCTGTGAATATAAGCCTAGTTGTTAAGCCCTTTCTAAATATTTTGTATGTTTCTACTGTAGTAGTTGTCTAAGAATACTAGCTTCTTTCCAGCCAACTTCACTATTTTGGAACTTTCACTAGTATTGAGGACTGTGATTTTCTTTATTTCTGGTTTGCTCCCTTTCTTAACTGCCATAGCTGATGTAGAAACATGCAGTATACGTAGTTATTAGGAGTCATCTTTTTTTGTTTGCTTGTTTGGCGTGTGTTTTTCTTTCTTGTTTGGGTTTTGTTTTTTGGGGGTGTTTTTTGGTTGGTTGTGTGTTTTTCCCCTTCAAAAAACAATCTAAGTGGCTGAAGAGAAACTTGTACAGATGATAGTGTGTTTGCACTATAGAGTTCATGCACAGGGGTACACTGTGCAGTTGAGGTCATTGTGTCAGTTCAGGCATGTGCTTTATCCTTGTGTTATGTGTCAGTCTGAATTGAGAAAGGAATTTTTGTTTATTTTACACTGTTTTCTATTAGTCATCTGTATTTTCTTACTAGCCACCTTGTTTGTGTGCTCCTAAATACCACGTGTTTTTTCAGGAATCTGTCTGCTGGCAAGGTCTTGGCAGGAGATGAGCCACTCGCCAGAATCATTCCCACTGCCCCAAGAAAGTCCAAGAGGAGGGTACTTCTTAGTAACAAGGGGGAGGGAGGGAAGGCAGGGGCCTGGAAGTGATTCAGTATCATTACAGTCTTAGTATTGCATGATGACATAAGTTTGGATACCTCTCTTGTCAAGGCTTAAGTAATGGGTTTGGCAGCACAGGCAAGATAAAGAACGATACTCGCATTTCGTAGAAGTGTCCCATGATACTTATCTCCTTGGTTTGGCATGTGTGTGGTGTGGTATTTTGTCACATATGAATGTATGTATAGATAAATGCTCAAAAAAAAGAGAAGTTTCTTAGCAGTAACTAGAGTTCTTTGAGATAATGTCTATATGTACGTTCACTAACAGTATGGCTGCTGTCGTCTTGTTTTTTTCAGAATATCTGTTCGAGAGGAACAGGGTTTGAGGGTTTGTTACACATTCTTTTATTGCCATGTAAGAAGGAGCTCAGGATGTGCTCTGCATTCACAGCTGTGACTTCACATGTAAAATAGTTAATCTTGACAAAACCTTAGCTGCTGGTAATCTTTCTTTCATTGTTGTTGGATTTGTATGATGCTGCTGGTAGAGGTGGGTGAGGTGAGGTTATTTTTGGTTTTGATCTGTTGCAAGAAGCCTTTCGCAGAGTGCAACTACAGTGGTTGTTAAGAGTGTGTCTCCTTCTTTTCTGGTTCAGGATGTTCTTTCAGACTGCTTGTGTCTCAACTACAAGGGGTTTATCTGGTGCAGTATTCTTTTGTGTGTACTTTTGGTCACTTTGAATTTTTCAGAAAGAGGTTTTGCTGTTTCAGTGTAAGTTTTAGTTACTTATGTGGCTCCCTTTAAACACTGACTACTCGGGAAACTGCACACAGAGGTATATTTTGGTTTGCTACTTTTTAAGACTAAAAGATTTTCATCAACTTCACAGCCTTCTGCCAGCCATAGATCAATGTGTCTACAGACTCTACACAGTGGTATAATACGGATCTTGACTGTGTTTTAAAGACTTAAAGCTTTGTGTCACGGTCCTGTGATTTCAACAAAGCTAAAGGGTGCTGCCTTTTGGTCTCATTCAATTCCTAGTTTTCTTCATTATGTGAATGGGTATTTCCTTGATGGCTGTGACATTGTCTTTGGCAATAAGTAAGCTCTGGCTGTGTAAACTGGACCTAACTTTAATCCATATCTTCGTGGATTGTAGAAGGAAAGAAGTCTTCTGAAGGTGATGACTGATTCTCAGTGTATACTTTTTTACATTTAAGTGTCCAAGTAAGATTTTTTTTTTTCCCCAAATACCAGCATTAGGAATCTTGGATTCTGCTTCGCCACTGTGTATAAAAGAGCTTGCAAATTCTGTGTTCTGTAATGGTGATGCCCACCACCACCCCAACAATACAGAATTAATTCTCAGCTTGTATTCTGTGAGTCGGGACAGTAGATTTTGCTGTGCCAATATTGCATAAAACATTGTTTAAGCTGAGTTTCAAGCAGAGGAGTTTTCTCTTTTAATTGCTAAGTATTTGTTGAGACAATGTCTAGATTGTCAGGTTTCTATACTTTTTTTGGTGTGTATTATTTTATTTTCCCATTAGTTGGAAGTTCTAATACTACTGACTGACTTACTCTTTTACATTGAGCGCTAATGGTGGTAATTCTTTTAAGTGATTTCATGAGCCCTGGAGATGTCAGCTGTGGTAATACATTTTGCAGAAGGGGACAATCTTTCTGGCCCAGACCTAGCAGAGACGTGTCTGCAGGATGTTCTGTTTCCAGCTGCATCACTGTATGAGAATAGCTATGTTGCTTCCATACCCAGCAGGCACGCTAGGTTCATGCAGTACTTCACTCAAAATATGAAGTCCTACCAGAACGTGAATGTGTTGGAAAGTGCATTCCAGATATAACCAAGCTAGCTGTGCAAGAGCTAGCTCAGGTCCAGAAGTGGTACATTTCAGTCCAGCAGTAATAAGAGAAACCAAGGATCTGCATTTTGTATTTGGAAGTGTGACTGACTTGGTTTTTTCACTGTGTGTATATATACGGTAGTTTTATATTTAACATAATGACTTGATTGAATGGATTTTTAAGCTGTATCTTCACTTCCTAGCATTTCTTAACAATATAAACCAACTAGGTTACAAAAGTTTCCATTTTTTTTACTCTCTCATGTTTAGCTGTTAGTGCTTCAAATGAAAGGAAGGTATGCCCCAAATGTAAATGGAGTAAAATCCAGGTATATCAGTTTGCCTGGTATATAACGAAGACGGACAAAACATGCATAATTAAGCCTTTTTAGAGGGTGTTTTCATAGGTTGAAGTGGTGTCATGTTAAGAGTTTGTGTGAATTTCACTGTTAATAGGCACTCTTTCAGAAGTACCAGTTAATTGTCAAAATAAGATTTAAAAAAAAAAAAAGTGTTAGTAACATTAGGTTAGCAGATAAACTTGCTTTTCTTTCAATTTTGGCGCCTTTAAGGGGAGAAGGACAACATGCAGGAGCAATGTAAATACTCTGCTCTAACAGATAGCTGTCTAACATGGTGTTTATGTCTAGAGTTTAATATTTTTTTTCCCCCCTTAGGTCAACTTTCCCTGTAAAAGAGTATTTGTGTGGGTTTGGGTTGGTGGTTTTTTTGTTGTTGTTTTTTTTTAATTTGAGAAATTTATTTGGCATCATGTCTGAATTAAAGCTGTACTATGGAATAGAGGTTAATTAACTATATTCAACAACCTAACTTTTAAGTTTGACTGTATTAAAATGTCTCTTGCCACTTTGGTGCATAAACAGGTATGAGGTATGAGATAAACATCAAGCTTCCTGGAATCATGTTAAGAGAGGTTAATGCATTTTAATCTTAATTGGTTTTAATCTAGAAAGTAAGATGGATAAATATCTATACCCTGACATTGTTTTTTAAAAAAAAAGTTGTGCAACCAACCTGTATTGTGTATTTTTTTAAATAAATTGACTCCCTTTTCCAGGCCTTAGATGGTCAAAATATTTATAATGCTTGCTGTACCCTACGGATTGATTTTTCCAAATTGGTGAATTTGAATGTCAAGTACAACAATGATAAAAGCAGGGACTACACTCGTCCTGATCTTCCATCTGGTGATGGACAACCAGCGCTGGACCCAGCTATTGCTGCAGCATTTGCAAAGGAGACTTCTCTTCTAGGTATGATTCTGACGTTGTTCTTTTATATTGCAAAGTCATTTGATGAAAATGTTTATTAATCCTTCTAACAATTAAAGATCTTAAATTGCAGTAGTATCCAAAGGCCCATTTGGGGTTCAGTCTATATTGTGATCTGAATTGTAGTAACACAACTATATTGTCTTTGGAAGTCCTGCATAAATGAATGAGAGAATGCATGACAAAATGAAAAATGCACAAAGTATAAGGAAAAGTCAAGTTAGTTCTACTTTTATTCCCAAATCTGTCCTCCCCTCTTTCATGTGTTCCTGTCCACTGCCACTGCCCACCTTGCCTACCCTCCCACCCAAGTTTGTAACAGACTTAACATGTATTGCATGTTTCATTCATACTACTGATTACTTTTAATATCAGATTATGAAAATAAGATTTTGTTGGTTTCCTTCAATGAGGAAAGATTATGCTCTTTGCTTAAAAATAAAGGTGCTTGTCTCTGGTTTTTGTAAATAAAAGGAAAAAAAAAAATCTGTAATTGTACTTCTTGTACTATGGTACATGAGTTCTAAATATCTTGTCAGCTTTTGAGTTCATCAGAAAACATAGGTGAAATGCTCTGAGAAAGATACGGGTAAATATATCTTCTGACTATTAGCAAAATAATTAATGCATGCTTTGGGAGAAATTTAATTTGTTTTTTTAACTTACCACAATTCATGGCATAAGTGTCACTCCTACTTCTGTCAAGTTGCTGTTCTTCGGTGAGAACACCTTTCACTCTTCAAAATTTAATAGTACTCAGACATAATCTCATGACTTTTGTAAAACTTGATTTCTTGTGTTGTGATCATTGTTTTTCCCACTTAGTCTTTTGTCTTTTTTTTTTTTGTTTCATCATTTCCCATTTTTCTTCTAAAGAAAACATAAGAATAACACGGATTTCATGCCCTGTTTTTTGTACAGGATGGGCCAACTTGGAGTAAGCCAGAGTTAATGTAGTAGAGAGAGGCTTCTGTTCTCTGTGTGTTACAGAAGTTAGAAGGCACTTAGTGAATGATATGAACCCAGGAAAAGGGTGAATATTGTAGTTAAGGCTGCTGAATGTTGCGTTGTATCTGCCCTTTTCCGAAATCAGATTACTTGAAGGATGCATTTTGTATCTAGTTGTAAATTCCACACACACCTCGCACAAATTTTGGAGTGCTTGATTTCAGATCCACCACTATGACTTGCAAGGTGGCGTATCACTTGTAGCTACAGCAGAAGTTTTGGAAAGTAAAAAACCATAAGAATCTAAAGTCTCTGAAGAATCCATAGCTAAAGCTTATTTTCTTTTTTTTTCTCTCTTACTTTCCCATTGTTTAAAAATTGAAATCTCTCATTGCATGAGTTGATAGGGAAGATGGATGAGTATTTGTGAAGAAGTTTGACACCATAGAGATGAGTGCTGTAGAAATGCCCTTGAGGCAGTTAGTAATTATTTTGTCAGCACATAGTGACTAGAATATAGACATGGGACTGCAGTATGATTAGTAAGGAGACAAAAACAAAGTAAAGCTGCTGCTTATTAATATGAGACCATCATATTAGGTTGTTGTAAGGCAGGGATTTAGGAGGGGAGAGAGTTAAAAGATTCATGATTTATAAAACAGTGCCAAATGCAGCATTGCTTATGTAACACTAATTCTGATACTTTCCTGAATCCTGAGAAGTCACTTTCTAGTCTCAGGCTTACTAACATATTTCTTTGTATATAATGCTTATAGTATGCATCAAATTAACAAGTTTAATTTGCTTGGCAGAGTGGACTTACACTCTGAGGATGTTTGGATCATTGCATCACTTCAGATACGTTTAATAATTGGGAATACTATACTTTTATACTTGTGACTTTAGCTTCAGTGGACTTCATGCTCTGGTGTTTTAGGCTTGAAAGTCACTTAAATGCTTTTGTAAATTTTGTCCACAAAACTGCGTTATTTTTCTAACCTTTTGATTTTAATCAGACTCATTCTTTTGTGTATATTAAAGGTTTTTGCTAGTAAAATTACGAAGATGACAGTCATATTAGCTAATTAAATATTTTAATTCTTGCTCTCTGGATGGACCTCTTTAAATGCACTGTTTTTCCAAGCAGCAGGAAAATAAAAGGTAACTTTCATTGCGGTTGTGAAACATTTTCAGAGCATCAGTGAAGTCAGTCATACTTATTTCGAGTAGTGGAGATTATATATCGTGGGTGTTTTTTTCCTCTGTAAAAGCATTCATTGTTTTGAAAGAGACTGAAGAGAGCTGGGTACATTTTCTAACTCTGCTTGTGGCCGATTGGGTGAGCTTTGTATTGTAACTCTGCATCATCTATCAAATAGGGGTGATGATACAGTGATCTTCTGTTGTTGTTGTTGTTGTTAGGGCTTTGGGGTTTTTTTCCTAGTTGCCTTTTTTGTTTGCTGAAAAACTTCAAAAAAGTCTCCATAGTACTGTTGGTGCCTTAGCCATTTGGATAGTTGTCAAAATGGGAATTGTGCTTGTTTGAATATGGAAGAACAGGGTTCTCATTCTGGGCTGCTTACTGTGCAAAAAGGCACAAAATATAAGTAACATAAATAAGAAGGGACAAAAGAAAAACCTCAAAAGCCTAAATGGCCACTTGTGCATGAAATTTATAGCTGCATTTTTGTTCAGATACTCAAAAAGGAGAACGGTGAGAACACTTAAAAGTTCAGAGAGATAGAAGATGGAGGTTGGCAAACTATGATGTGTGAAATATGGCAGAATGATAGCAGTGACCTTCCTCCTGCTTCTTTCTTTTATCTTAAGATTTTATTTCCTTTTCTTTGCTTTTGGAATTTTTATTTCTGTAATGTCAGTAAAGATATCTTCAGAGTATATTCAGTCAGAGTGTCTGTTGTGCCCTATTCACAGATAGTTCCCAAAGGGCGTGTTTCTCCATGAGAGCGGAGCTCCATTTTGAGCTTAATGTGGTGCTCTTCAGGTCCTTTTGCATGCTTGAAAAGAATACCATAAGTTGAACGTGTGGCATTCTTGTTAAAATTCTTGCTGTAGCTGTTCTCTTGTATGCGTATAGTGAGGTCACTAACTGATGTGGTAAGGGCTCAGTTCTGACTTTTGCTTATGTTATGCTATTATATGCTGGATAGTTTTACAACTTAAGTGCCTTTTTGTGTTGTCTTGTTAACAGTATACCGTAATTCATATGTCAGGAGTGAGGTTTAGGTTTAACACAATTTTGTGAGTTGAGTTTTAGTGACAAGATGTGAGTCTTATTAGTCTTGGTGTTTAAATATGCATTAATACTAAACCATTACATATTTCAGTTTCCTTCTGGATGGAGTTAACCCACCTCTTCAGTAAATGTAACTTTATAATGTAGTGTAGTGACACTTGCAGCTTCATAAGCTGTTATGCAGAGATTTTAAAAGGACCTGCTATCTCCCCCAGACTCATTCAGGCTAAGTGTAAGAAGCAGGCCAGTAACAAGTATGAAAAGATTGTGGTTAATTGACATAAAGCCATAAGAAAGGTTCATAGCAGGACTGGGGACTAAATACAGTTCTCAGTTATGCAAACCTGCATTAACATGATCGCCTCTGCTGCCTATGGTTTTCACGTGCAAGTTCATAACATATTTTTAATAAAGCTTTAATTTGCATCTCATTAAAATGGCATTACTAATTTGCATTTCAGAAGTCATGCAAAAAGGTACACTGAGGGGGAAGAAATAACGTGACATGCTGTGTTTAAAATTTATTGAGGAAAAAGACCTCTCAAAAGGCTAGGAAATAGGGCATAATATTTGTATGTTTTCATTAATATCTGGAAAAAGCAAAAAACCTGTTATCTGTAATTGTTGGAAGCTAAAATAAAGCTAGTGACAAAGCTTTCAAATACTGGTTGATAACGTTGACAAAGTAGGTCACATTTCTAAATAGTTTCAGATAAGTCCTCAATTCTTAAATAGCGTGTTGCATGCTAACTAATAATCATAATACAAGTTGTTCTTATTTTTATTTATTAAAAAATGTTGACTTGCTTAAATCAGAATGGCAAATCAGAGTGCAGTGGAGACCTACAGGACAAGAATTGTGTTTTCTGTGGGTTTATAATTTGTCTGACCTTTCCAAGAAATGAGGTTTGTGTGCTATGTAATCTGTTAGAAACGTATCAATCAAATAGATCATCCTAGCCCGCATGCATCATTACTCATTTGTCTACTAGATCCTCAGCCGTGATGAAATAAGGTGTCAGAAGTCTTTGAGACTGTAAATTGGAACATCTTTTCAATAAGTCTTGTTATCTTTTGAAAGAAGGAGCAAATCACTAATGGACAGAATGGGCTAGTTTCGAATGAATTACCAGAAGCAGATGGTTGATTTTTTTTTTTAAATTTTTTTTTTTTTAATTTTTTTTTTCACCTCACATATGAAAAGATAGACGCTTTCTCTCTTCCCTCCCCCCAAAAAAGTTGCGGGAGATCTTGCAGGAAAAAAAAAACTTTAAATAAACAGCAACTGTATTACACTGAACCACAACAAACAAAAGATATAAAATAAGAACTACTTATATATAATTGCAAATACTAACATGTAATAACTTTATAATTGCAAAGAATTATATATATATAATTAAAATAATATAATTGCAATAATATAATTGCAAAATAATAACTTTTATAATTGCAAATACTAGTATGTAATAGCATGTAATGACCTTAATTCCAATTTAGATATTTGTTTAATATTACAGTTGGAAATACATTTTTGTGGTTAGGGCTCCCACAGCTTTATCCCTTGCTGTCATTGCTGGCTTTCTTTATTAGCACTTCCCACTAATGCCCTTTCTTAAGAGTCTTATTAAGTTCATCTATTTCAAAGGATCATAATTGAAAATATTTTCATATGAATGCTGTTGATAAAAACAAATATTAATTAATCTTCAGCGGGACCAAAGAATGTCCTGTAGAGACTCGGATGCTATGAAGAATTTTGCCTTTTAAAGTATGAATTACTCAGCTGTGCTCTGCCCGACTATGGAAAGACCTATAAAAACTTCACTGGCCATCTTTAGATTCCTTTATTCCTAAAAATGCCTGACTGGCTTAAAGCTTCTAAGGTTAGGGAGAGGTGTCTGGACGCACTGGAAGATTTTAAATGCTCTAGTATCTTGGCACTTTCTAATACCTAAATGGTAGCTATTGACCTAATATAAAATAAGTTGTTTCCCTTCAGGTGGTCATCTGTCACACCTTACTGTCATTCTTCACATTTTTGTCTGTATGACCGCTACAGTAGCTGAGGGTAAATAAACATGACATTCAGCGAATGCAATACAAAACACTCAAAAGTAGATTACCAAAATGATTTTTTTAAAGTTGTTTGAGGAGTTTGATATTCACAGGTTTTCCTGTGTATTACAGTCTGATTTTGGGAATAAACTTCTTTAGTCCTTCCACAATTTCTTTAACTGCATCTTCTATTAATTGTTTTTTCTTGAAAGTAAAGGTATATTCTTCAGCTTTAACACAAGAGCAAAACACGCATTGTATTTGTTAGATTTTTGTCTTGCTATTAAAATATGTAAGTATATAGTTCTACACTTGCCTTTCACACAAAATGGATCTTGAGAAACAAAATTGCTATGCTTGGACTAGCAGTGGTCCATCTAATTTCATATCCGTTCTCTGACAGCTAGTGTTATTTCTGTGTTTTTTGATGGAAGACCTAGCGCAGCCCTCATAACAGATGATCCTACAGTAGCATACCTGGAGGGAGTTCTTTTCTAACCCCCGGGTAGTTAGTGCTTGGCGTACGTGATGAAGCGTATAATATGTCACTTTATTGCCTATTTAATGTAACTGGCTGTTGTTTCCATAGACTGTCTAATATAGTCTCAAATCTATTAAGTGTTTTTGGAGGATGGAAGGGAGAAAGACAAGATCGGTGTTTTCATTCTTTTTGTATATTACAGTCAGTCCCACAAATAACACATATAATGCAATATTTGTTGCCTTTTGATTCAAGTAGGTTTTCCCTTTATCTTGTGGTGTGAGAAATGACTAGAATTGTCAATACTCAGAACCTTCTATTCCTCTGGTTTGACCCCGAGTACTAACATTTTTAATCCTTTAAACTTTATCGGAAGCATTCCATATATTTAATTTCCTTTCTTGGAATACTAGACTTTTTTTCTTCTCTCTGTGCTTTGACAGGAAATGACCAGAAAATATTTTTTCAATGCTTGATTGGTAATACTGTTAAGCGCTACTGCAAATTAGTAATTGATGTCCTGCTCCCTTTGAGGGGTCATTTGTGCAGCCCAACAAAATATCTCTGTCTCTCTTTTTTAATTACTTGTTTTTCCACAAATTTGTATAACAAAACATAAATAAAGAGGTGGAATGTAGAAAGAAATCTTTTCTGGGAAATAAGAAAAAAAATGGTAACCTTGCTTACTCCCCCCTTTTTCTACCCCTCTGTGTTGCCTTTAGATACTAAATCTGGATTTTTTTTTTTTTTAAATTAATGGTTGAATATATTTACTATTATCTGTTTAGTATTTGGACATTGAAAGTGTAGAATTTATTTTTTCTTATGACTTCCTTTAAAATAAAACTTAATGTGGGAAGGAAAGTAGTCTTAAGTACATATTGGAAAGAATATGTTTAGACTGTCTATATGGCATACTGGAAGATTGGTCAAAAGTTCTGTTAGCTTAGCATGATCATATAAACATTCCAAAACACTGAAATCTGACAACCCAATTACAGTAAAAGAAAATAAAATACTGAAGTTACATTTCTTTATTGTTTTTTACACATTTGGTATGTCAGTGTCCTTTTACAGAACTCTGTAAAATGTGCAAATAAAATTTTGATCAAATACGATAAAGCTGTTTCTATATAAAGTAAGTACAGTGCGTGTGTATCACAAGAACCTTTCACAGATCCTGGGAGTAGCGCACTTGCCTAGTACCCCAGTGACTTGACCACGCAAAACCAGCAGGTCTCTGCAGGATCTGAGTTTCCTTGGAAGAAGAGATGTAAAAGCACAGCTGAAGGTTTAGCTAATAGTAGCATGCTGCTTCAGGGAATTGGATTACAAAAGCCACAGAGCATAATCATAATGCTACCTTGAATCTTGAATTTAGAAGGTTGCCTTGTCACCTCATTTGTGTTACGGCTTTGAGAGATATGTAGTCCTTTTCACATGAGCAACTCCAGTGTTTTATATTTAGTCTGAAGCATCAAGTTGAAGTGAGGAATTCCTCTTCAAAGGGTGATGGAAAATAAGGTTGTAATGATGCAGACGGCACAATTAGTGTTTATTCTTACTGATTTGATCAACATTAACTTTAGACCATTTTGATAAACTAGGCACTTTAAGCATTTTGGAGTACAGTGGAAACAGTTTTGGTGCACAACAATGTTTATTTGAAAAGAAAGTACTCTCTACACCTCATCATTTCTCTGAAGACTTGATCTGAATGAAAAAATTCACATTTCCTTATATTAATTTAACAACCCATTTCACAAGCCTTTGAATGACTTTAATAATGGGATGGTCTGCTTTGTAGAGTGTTGTATGCAACATTTATACTGATATAGGTACTTTTTTTTTTAAATGACTTGTGTGTGTTTCGTAAAATATGCTTTATTTTAAAATTAGGGCTTCCTGTTGCAGCTGTTCCAGGAGCTCTGAGTCCTTTGGCTATTCCAAATGCTGCTGCAGCTGCTGCTGCTGCTGCTGCTGGCCGTGTGGGAATGCCTGGAGTTTCAGCTGGTGGCAATACAGTCCTCTTGGTTAGCAATTTAAATGAAGAGGTCAGTGAAACAATTTTACTATATGCCCCGCCCCCCCCCCTCCCCTCCCCCGGTCACACTTCATTTGTCAGTATTTTATAATTTCTTTGCATTTGGCCTCTTACATTTGGATTTTAAGCTCAAAGTATTTTTGCTGTTTTTTTTTAATAATCCCCCAAAGTTAATTTTAAAGCCATTATTGTTAAATACTTTTGTTTTCCCAGGTAGCTAACAACTTAAAATGTCCTTTGATAGTCGGCTACCTATTTTTTCTAAGAAAAATGTGGTAATTACTGCATGTTTGACACTTGAATTGACAGCTTTATTTTTAAACAATAGCAACTATGCTTTCTTTTGCAATTACAATCACATAAACTACAATTTCTGTTTTGTTTCTTCTAATTGTTTGCTGTTTCATTTCATGCTCGTATCTCACATTTTAAGGTCTTAATTTATGTGAACTACTCTAACACATTTTTCTTTGAAGGTTCTACCAAAGATCTTGACGAGGCACTCTTCCAGTCTCTCTTAGTAATTTTTTTTTCTTTGCAGTTACTCATTTGTCTTTAAAAAATAATAAAAAAAGTGGTGGCAAAGCGTTTTCACCTTAACTGTATCTTTCTTGCTAACTCTGAAATCTAAAGGGGTTTGTTTAGTTTTGCATTTTTACTGTCCTTTACATTTATTTTGGCTGTGAAAGCTGGTATGAAATGTGGGAAGTTTGTATCGGTCTAGCTGTTCCATTTTTAACTGGCCTCTGTCACTGTAAATCATTAAGCTTTTTTTATCATCTGGTACTATTTTGTCATCCACAGTCTTGCATGTTAAAATGTTTTAGATCAGAGTGCCATTTTGAAAGATTTTTTGCCTGCATTTCATAACCAGCCATGCTTACGCAGTTGAAGTTCAAAGTTTAAAATTTCTATTGCATGCTTTTTTTAATTTATTTTCATGTTGAGATGAAATGCTGTAGTTTACTCTTGATATGAATGTACTTTACCCATATTTGTCTTGGGTGACTACATTTTACTCAGTTTTTCTTGTACAGTACATAAACCAACCATTTTCTGACCAAATTCCTGCATTTCCTATGTACTGACCTATATTTTATTTTTTTTTTGTTCCCCACTTCCTTATTTTTTTTCTTCTGCATTGCTGTATTCCCTTCCCCATTTCATCCTTTCCCCTTTGTGTTCAACTTCCCTTTCCTTGCCTTTACCCCATTCCCGTGCCCTTCCCTGTCTTACCCTTCTCGTTGTCTTTGTCTACGTTCCCTGTCTTCATTCCCTATGTTCATGCTTCTGTGCTTGAACAAAATGTTCCTCGGACCAACTTGCCCCAATTAACCGCCTTGAAACCATGATCCATGACCACCTCACCATTCTGCGGGAACCACCCTTCGTTATGGATGATCTGTTCATCTCCGAAAAAAAATCCTCGACTCTTCTCTCTTCTTGTCTTACGCTGCTTGCTCTTCTCTCCTTCTAAAGATGGTTACGCCCCAAAGTCTGTTTACCCTCTTCGGTATGTTATTGTTAGCACTATACTTTTATTATTGATTTGATTTTGTTTTGGTTTTTTTTGTTTGTTTGTTTTTTTCACCTTAATTCTTATTTGTAGCTAGCACTTTGGCTTAAAGTTGAATAGTAAATCTTTTGCTATTTTTCTTTTGCTGTTTAAAACTCTCCATAGACACAGATTTTCTTTTAATGCATGCTAATATATTTTGCATGGTCTTTAATTTAATATCATTCACATAGCTTTGAGGGTTTATCAGAAATTATTCTTTTCAAGATTCACTATTCAAAACCTTTATCTCCTTTATTCATTTGTGAGAGTGTTGAGTTTGAGTGAGTGATCTTGTTGCTGTCTGAATGTTCCATTGATATGTCAAAATATTACTTAGGTAACTGGCTTTAAAATGAACTTTTTCTTTTGGGTTACCTTTGACTTTGGAAAGGTGTTTATGGTGATGTGCAGCGTGTGAAGATTTTATACAATAAGAAGGACAGTGCTCTTATACAGATGGCTGATGGAAACCAGTCACAGCTGGGTAAGATTAGTTTTCTGTTTATATTCCCATTAGTCTAAGTACTTGAAATTATGCTGTGTAAAATCAAGTTAAGGAAGCATGTTTACATTTGTTGGTTTGTCTTGTATCCTGGTTACCCACAAGATCCAAAATCTTACTGCATGCACTTGTATGACAGAAGGTCTGTATAGTATCCTAAATGAATTCAACAGCTGAATCACATGTGATGGTCTCTAAATAAAACTAAATATTCTTGCAGATTCTGCAGACCTAGTTCTTGATTCCAGTCTTTTAGCACATTGACCCTTTGATTTGCTTGTGTGTTTTTCATGTTTGCCTGTGTGATGTACCACAAGCTATTGAAAAGTAACACTGAATTGAGTAAAATTCTTGTCTTTTTCAGCCATGAGCCATCTTAATGGACAAAAAATGTATGGAAAGATTATCCGGGTTACCCTTTCTAAACACCAGACAGTACAACTACCTCGAGAGGGACTTGATGACCAAGGGCTGACTAAAGATTTTGGTAATTCACCTCTGCATCGCTTCAAGAAACCTGGTTCCAAAAACTTTCAAAATATATTCCCTCCTTCTGCAACACTTCATCTGTCCAATATTCCGTAAGTGTTGGCTGTCAGTAAGCCAGTAGTATTAATGTGAATCACAACACACGATGAATTTGACTAATAATTTCTTGCTTATGCTTGTTTTCTTTCTGTCTGTAGGCCATCAGTAGCAGAAGAGGACCTACGCACATTGTTTGCTAACACTGGAGGCACTGTGAAAGCATTTAAATTTTTTCAGTAAGTAACTTTTCTGTATGTAGCTCTAAAAAAAACCTACCTAAGTGCATTTTTGCAGCATGTCTTAAGGAAAAGTACATAGATGATAGCAAACATTAGGAGCAACCCCTGTAGTGTTCAGGTTCCTAATGCCATTATTTTGTTTCAGAAGAGATCACAAGATGGCACTTCTTCAGATGTCAACAGTAGAAGAAGCTATTCAGGCTTTGATTGATCTTCACAATTACAATCTGGGAGAAAATCACCATCTGAGAGTTTCTTTCTCGAAGTCAACTATTTAAAACGGCAGATTGAAAAATGAGGGTGTGTTGCATTGTTTGGTGTTGTCACCTATTGACTGTTCAGGAAAGTGGGGACCAGAGTTTGTCTTCTGTTGTTTTATAATATTTTTTTCATGCTGTTATCATTCCTTGGTTGTTTTAAAAAATAAAAAATTTAAAAAAAAAACCTAAAAAGCAGTGATACTAACTGCTGTTGTTCAACTGTTGTTTAGATAAACCATCATTTTGTTTAAAATATTTCAAATTAATACCACAGTTTTTCAACTTAGTTACATACGTGCCTTAAAAAGGAAAACTAGTACTGCTGGAATTGCATAACTAGTAAAAAGCAAATTTGGTTGTCTGGGGCACATTGTTACATGATAATTTAAATATGTTTAGGCAGGGGTGTGTAAAAAGGTTAAGCTTTTGTTTCTCCTGCTTGATAGATTTCTTTATCTGCTGGCTTGTCACTTATTCTTCTTTTTAATTGGATAAGATGCATTATGCTGAAAGAGTAAAATGACGTTATTTGATTTCGGCTACTTTTTGCTTTGTGCATTTTTTTTAAAAAGGCCTTTTGTATTTCATGGTTCTGGTCTAGATTCAGTTATGAATGTAGGCATTAGTTAAAATTAACAAGGTACAGAATATTAATTTCTTAAAGGACAAAAAGTGACTTCTGTGATTTTGAGCCCTATGTGAAAAGCATTGTGGAATCTTAACCTTTTTGTACACACTCTTGTGGGATGTATCATATAAATGTCAGCACTAAGTAATGTCTTGTTTGTGGCTGAATATTTTTCGTAGATGTTTTTGAAGTTGACATGACTTACGTGCATTTCAATATATATTGCCATCTTTAGTTTGTAATTAAGGTATGGAATATGGTTGTGGATTTCTGAGCATGTACAGACTGGTCAAGCTAGTTCAGGAAATGGTGCATGTATTTTTCAATGCTGAAGAAAGTTTGCTGCAAATGCTTGCAGGAAATTTTGTGGCAGTTTTCTAAAACTGACAACCAGGTGGGACCAAAGTTTATGTGCCTTTAGTCTTAATTTACCTTGCATTGTAATATTCAGTTTTAATAAATCTCTTCAAAATATTTTGTATTTAGAAATTGATCTGACTTTACTATAAACATGGCTCAGAATCTACAGATCCAGTTAATTTGAAAGCAGTTCTCTGTCAGTCTGAACTGTTACCTTGATTCTGTTTAAATGACCAATACTTTTTGAAATTGATGTACTTAGTTTCAAGATTCATAGATTCTGTTATCTATGTAGAAAAAAAAGTCATGTATATTTTCTATTAGTTGAGTTTTTACATCTTTAGAATTGTAAAATTCAGTATAGTTTGAAAGTGGCACAATTAAAAATTAATTTTCTAACAAAGTTGGGAGGTTTGATGGTTGTTTAATTTCATTTTATGTGTACTCTGCTTACCTCTGTAGCATGCTCAATAAACACTTCTGTAGCTCTGTATTCACCTTTTCTGTCTTTCTCTGCTGCTTTCTATCTCTCCTCTTTGTTTTTCACTTCTACTGTGCTTCTAAATTCATGTTTATTCTCTGCCAGGGTGGGAAAAGCATAATATTAAAGAATACAATTTATGGCTTTTTACCATAAATTTGGTGCTGTGAAAAGTAACAGCTCTTTATTTTCAGAAAGATAGTGATGCCTTTGCAGGCATATGTGCATATTAAACATTTCCCACCCTGTTATAACTTACTGCTTTAAAGACATAACTTTTATTGTAGTTCGTTAGCTTTTTCTTTCTATCTTTTTAGTTTTTAAGCAGATTTATGCACTAATAGATCTCTCAGGTTTGCCATGCTCTCTTGCTGCAATTTCATCTTTCATTTCTTTTGTGTCTGCTAAAGAATTTTTCTACTAATCGTACAGTATACTCATGGGTTAAAGTAACAAAGTTTTTAACATTAGATTAGTGGGCCATACGTATTCCAGACCGGGATATTTCGCCTTTTCAGAGATATGGGTTCAAATGAACGTAAAAATAGTTTGGGTACTTTCATAGTGTTTCTTCATATCACTTTGAACTGATTGTTGTGGGGTGGTTTTCCCCTCGATTAGAAATAGAATTTAAAGTTCTACATAGTCCCCTTTTAAGAGTAACTGCATGATCCTGAAGCACTACATTGGTGAAAGCTGTCAGTGTTCAATGTGAAGCGTTTTTCTGTCACTTCTCCAGTACAACTACAGTAGATTTATTGATGTCGGATTACTTTGTGACCTGATGTCTGTTCTTTGGGTTGGCTTTCAAATCAATAAATAGCTATCAGCTTTTTAAAGGTCATGGTATAACGTAGGGGCCTTGCATTAGTCTTCACTACATTAGGTTCTCACCTGTTTTATCAGAAATACACCCAAGGTATTGTGCTCCGGGTATCACAGTGACCACCCAATCTGAAATGTTGGTAGAATCAGATTCATCCATACATGAAACTTGTGAATCAACATCTTTTTACAACTCATGCACCCAAACGTGTTGCTGTGACTCCGTTGACTTGAACAATAGTTAAGGGTCTGACTGAGCTGATCTTTTAATTTTCGTCTGTATAGTATGATGTCCCTTATTCTTAAAAGTCAAAATGTGTCACATTTCCTTTTGCATATCAGAATGTGCTTGCATGTTTCAAATAGAAACGTGAATTGAAATTTACCATTCCATGTGTTCAGTGTCTGCTGAACTACTTCCACTCTAAAACATACGTATCAGATAGCATGCAGTGATTGCCACATGTATAATTTTGACATAACCTTAAACATCTGCAGTGCTTGAGTGTTTACAAATACAGGGTTGTTTTTTTAAAAAAAAATGTAATTTACTCATCTCTTGCCAGGCTTATTTCCTTAGAAAGAGGTTTCTGTACTTCTTTTCTCATTTTGAAAAGTTCTGTGGCAAAAACCTTAAAGGAAAGGATATATACTGAATTTTATTTGTTATAAATTCAGTAACTGTATTATGAGGTTATATTTGTATCAGCCAAAATGAAAAATAGTGATAGTCATAATTGTCATGGAAGTGGTTTTTTTATTAACTCAGTGAAGAAAATCACTGTTCAGTAATTGATGCTTAGTCTTTAAAGTGGTATCTCTTCAGAAAATACAGATTTAATGTCCTAACTGCTAGAACTTTGAAAAACTTGTTTTTCTTGAGATGGTACTGCATTTTGTATAGCAATTTGTACTTTTTTGTTATTATAAAATATAAATAAGTTTCTGTTGTATTTTTAGCTTTCAGAATGTGAAAATGCAAAGCATTTTTATTAAAAGTTTACTACAAATAAGGTTTATTAATAACTTCTTGCACTCCATGGAATGTGAGTTTTTTAGATTGTTAGTAGAACTTTACCATAGGCATGTTGATACTCCAAACTCAATTTCAGATTTTTAAAATAATTCTAGTATTTTGAAAGAAGTTGATTGCAGATTTTTTTTTTTTTTCATTTGTGAGTTGTTAGATTTTTCTCTAATGGAGCAAAGAAATTGGTTGGAGAAGTCCAAAAGTGATTCTTTGAACAGGTAATGTCCACTGGCAAATACAATGTGTAAATGAAGGAAAACAAAACCTGATAGCATTCTGACTAAAAATTGTGGCAAAACTTCAAACTTAAGTGAATGCACTTGGAAGCATTTCCATATATTGTGATTTAACATGTTATTAAAAGGCACCTTTGCCCTGCAGGAATAACAACTCGTGACTATTCGTAGATTGCTGTTTTTAATGTTTTACATTAATTTTCAGCTTTATAAGCCATCTTACAAAAAAAATCCCTTTGATTCATTGTATGTTTCCTTATGTCTATTATAGTATATTACAGCATGAAAGCACCAATTAGACATTTGTCTGCAGTATTTAAGGCACTGCAATTTCATACCCTAGTTTACTCCATATAATTTGTTTAATTCTATGCTTAGATAATGAGTAGTTCTGTTGAAACACTAGGAAAAAAGGTAAGAACTATGTGTTTCTCTTCAAACAGGTATATAAATCCACTAGTCCATCTCAAGAAATGGTTTTACCAGTGTTAACTGTTCTACAGTGAGCAAGGCTTCTTAAAAAGATTTGATTGTGTTAGGTAGGGATGAGGCTGAAGTCTGTATCTGTTAGGCTCTATTCTGTTCCAGAGACTGAGACAACCTAAAGTTTGCTGAGGTGGACAAATTTTTCTTTTAAATAATTTGGCAGAATGTCCCATCTCCTGTAATCCTGGTCCGTATAGAAGGGGCTGTTTAAGTTGTGAATGTGGTCAAGATTGTATTTGAAGGTAGGTTGTCTCAGGGCTTGGTGATGCAACATCTGCAATGTTTTGTCCTTCCTGGTCTCCTGGGGAGCAGCTGCAGCCTGCTGGTGCAGTTCTCATCGCCACAGAGGATAAGGAGGGAGACTGATTTTTCTGAAACTGGGGGATCTGGCATGCTATTTTCTTCTTGATGGGCCGTGGTAAAATTAATCAGTGGACTGCAGTAATCTAACTGTAGAAAATTATAATATATTACAAATTATTCTGTTAGTCCACAATTAGCTTGCTAGAACCAGTGACAAGGTTCTTGCCTTGCGGAGGAATTCTATGCCACAATAGCGAAGCTTTAGAGAGTTTAACTTTTTTTTTTTCTTTTAATGTTAGAATTTATTTAGAATTACCTAATCTGAGTGTCTTGAGCTTTGAAAAATCTCTACAGTGCATCTACACGCATGGGCGCACATGTTTGGTCTCTTGAAGATGGTTAACAAAAGGAGATTGGTGAGTTCCTCCTTCACCTTAAAAAAAGTAATTTCTACTGCATGGCACACCTTTGTTGTAATCTTCTGAGTTTACTGAACTTTAATTCAGAAGAGGATTATGCTGCTTTATTTTCCCCCCCCTTCAAAGTTTACAGCATGTTAATGTTTAAACTCTGTATTCTTTCTTGATTAGTTCTGCATGCAGGCAGCAAAGGAAAAGCAAAGAACTTTTCTTCCTTGGGAAAATGTGAATTAAATGCAGAACGGCTTAAATATCTTTAAAAAAAAAAAAAAGCCCAAAATAGCACTCCTATTATTGAAGAGTTCTGCATGTTTTATGAGTTTTAGCCCAGTTCCATAAGGAAATGAGACACGCATAATTGTGCCGTCTCCATGTGAAATGTCCCGTTCCCTAGATAAC